GGCGCCGCCGGCCCACGCGCCGCTCCCCGCTCCCTTGCAGGTGGCTACTCCTCGCAGTCCAACTACAACTCGCCCGGCTCCGGCCAGAACTACAGCGGCCCCCCCAGCTCCTACCAGGCGTCGCAGGGCGGCTACGGCAGGAACGACCACAGCATGAACTACCAGTACAGATAAAGGCGCCCCGGCCCCGCGGGCGCCGGGTTTTGTTACCTCCCGCACTTGGGCACCCTCCAGTTATTCAGTTTTTTCGCCTCCCGGTGAACACGTAACCCGCCCCGCGCCCCGTTTCCATGTTGCAGTGCTCTTTGTGATACCGGTCACTAATGGTTGAGTACCTGTAATTCCATACTTAGCTGTATTTTGGGCATCTCTGTATTTAATGGTTTGTTAGTTGCCATTACAAGTTTGTCTAAATAGACTTTTTTTTTTTTGAGTTAATACGACTTCGATATCCTTTTTCTATTTAAAATTGACGTTGAAGTGTTAACACGGTATGGCTTTAAATAGATAAGGGATACGTCATCTGTTAATGCTTTTGTGAAGTGAGTTAAACGAGCTTTCTGTATGTTAATGCTTTAGTGTTTCAGTTTTATAAGTGAAGACTTTATTTTAAAAAAAGAAAAAAACAAAAAAACGGTGAGAAAGAGAGTGGTTTTGTATGCCTGCATGGGGCAGGCAGCACACGGATTCAGCTGAATGTAGACAAATAAACACAGACTCTCGATGTCGTTGTCTCCAACCGCCCCCGTTCCGTTGCCTGCATCCGGAGCGCCGGGGCCCATCCCGGCATGCGGGGCAGGATCCATGCGGGACACAGAGGTCGGGATCCACGTGGGACACGGAGGTCCGGATCCACACGGGACACGGTGCTCGGTGGGTGTTCCCATTGGCTCCCGGGCGCCCGGGGCTGTCGCGTTCCGTCGGGACGGGTTTCCCGCTGCGGGACGGGGCTCGGACAGTCCCTTCCCAGTGGATTTGGAGCACGGCAGCCGCCCTTGGAGGCGCTCCAGGGAAGTGAATAGCTGGTGCCCGCTCACGCGAGGGCACCGGCCGCATCCCGGCCCCGAGCGAAACCCAGGGCCCCTCCGTGAAGGCGACAGCTTAAGGAAAAGGAGACCCGAGGCTGGAGCGGCCCCGGAGTGTCCCTCAGGATAGCGGCGGCCCTTCCCGGCTGTGTCCCCGCTTCCCAAGTTCATCGGAGCAGAGGTGGGACAGGAGCGTCCCTCAGAATAGCGGCGGCCGTTCCCGGCTGTGTCCCCGCTTCCCAAGTTCATCGGAGCAGAGGTGGGACAGGAGCGTCCCTCAGGATAGCGGCGGCCGTTCCCGGCTGTGTCCCTACCTCCCGAGTTCATCGGAGCAGAGGTGGGACAGGAGCGTCCCTCAGAATAGTGGCGGCCCTTCCCGGCTGTGTCCCCGCTTCCCAAGTTCATCAGAGCGGAGGTGGGACAGGAGCGTCCCTCAGGATAGCGGTGGCCGTTCCCAGCTGTGTCCCTACCTCCCAAGTTCATCGGAGCAGAGGTGGGACAGGAGCGTCCCTCAGGATAGCGGCGGCCCTTCCCGGCTGTGTCCCTACCTCCCAAGTTCATCGGAGCAGAGGTGGGACAGGAGCGTCCCTCAGGATAGCGGCAGCCCTTCCCGGCTGTGTCCCCGCTTCCCAAGTTCATCGGAGCAGAGGTGGGACAGGAGCGTCCCTCAGGATAGCGGTGGCCGTTCCCGGCTGTGTCCCTACCTCCCAAGTTCATCGGAGCGGAGGTGGGACAGGAGCGTCCCTCAGAATAGTGGCGGCCCTTCCCGGCTGTGTCCCCGCTTCCCAAGTTCATCGGAGCGGAGGTGGGACAGGAGCGTCCCTCAGGATAGCGGCGGCCGTTCCCGGCTGTGTCCCTACCTCCCGAGTTCATCGGAGCGGAGACGGGGCGGATGGGAATAACAGAGCCCTGGAGCGGCGGCTGCACGTGGCACGAGGCCAAAGCCCCCGGGCTGCCGCGTTCCCGGGCATCCC